GTCTGCAAAGTGCTAAAGTACCATATAAACAGAAAACACTTGCAGTGGCCCCACAGGGTATGTCTATGTCTTGAACCCCTAGAACCCACGAATGCGCCCTTGTTTGGAAAAAGTATCTTCGCAAATTTCATTAAGTGAAAGATTTTGAGATGAGATCATCTTGCATTATCCAGGCAGACCCTAAATCCAATGACAAGTGTCCTTCTAAGAGAAATACAGAGGAAGACTAAGAGGAGAAGAGGAAATACCACGTGAGGATGAACGGAGAAACTGGAGTGATGCAGCCATGGGCCAGGGATCCCTGGAGCCACCAGAAGCTGGAAGAGACACAGATCAGACTCCCTAGAGCCTTCAGAGGAAGCACAACCATGCTGACACCTTGATTTCAGACTGTGGCCTTTGGAACCATGGGACGATCTATTTCTGTTGTTTCAAGCCAACTGGCTTGTGAAAATTTGTTATGACAGCCGCAGCCAGCAAACTAATACACAACTGTTGGCTTTTTTCTAAACCAAGAACCAGGAGACAGCCCCACCTACAGAAATGACTTTCATTCATCTCATTGTAGCTACAAGATTGCAAAAGCATCAAGAATGCTCATTCTTGGGCAAATAGGGAGAACTTTTTCTCTACAAAAATAGAGAAATTAGCCAGAAATTTGCCCTCCACAAAAAATAAAAAAATTAGCCAGGCATGGTGGTGCACGCCTGTAGTCTCAGCTACATGGGAGGCTGAGGAGGGAGGATTGCTTGAGTCCCAGAGCTCGAGGCTGCAGCGAACCAAGATGGTGCCACTGCACTGTAGCCTGGGTGAGAGAGATCATGTCTTTAAAAATAAATAAATAAAATACATTTTTTTAAAAAAAGAATGAACACATTTAATTAAAATTAAAATGTTAATCCAAATTAACATGGGTAAAGAAAGCCAAAGAAAAGCTAGAGTCAGGCAAGGAACCAAGGCATGCTTTCTGGAGGATGGTTTAGAACTTCCCTCTCCCGGCCGGGTGCGGTGGCTCACACCTGCACTTTGGGAGGCCGAGGTGGGTGGATCACGAGGTCAGGAGATCAAGACCATCCTGGTGAACACGGTGAAACCCCATCTCTATTAAAAATACAAAAAAATTAGCCAGGCGTGGTGGCGGGCGCCTGTAGTCCCAGCTA